TTTTCCGCCATCAGAAGACCAATCTCCTTCCGAATAGCCATGTCCTCCCGAGCAACTTTGGCAGTGAGCTTTCCAATCTGTTGTTGCACTGCTGCCTGTTTGTACATGGCTTTCACTGTGAGTTCAGCGCACTCCACTGATCGCCTACTGTGCTCCCTCAGTGCGTCTGTCTGCTCCCTCATTACTGCGGAGATGTCCTTCACAGCCCGCTCCCGGGCATTTGCGAGAGTGCGTCTGCGCTTTGCTGACGTTCCCACTTCAGCCCCTTCAGCACATGCATTGGCAACCCCACTCTCAGCCCTGCCACCACTGACAGGAGTAGAACCCCGACTGCCCTGTCCTGGTCCTCGCCCATCCTTCTCATTTCCAGGATCTACAACACCTTCAGGATGGACAACCGGGTTTCTAATATTGAAGGAGTCAATGAGATCAAACCAGGACCTTCGAAGGCGGAACGTGAGTTCAGCATTCGCTCGTGCCTCAGGTGACATGGTCCAATAGCTCTGCACTCCACTCATGCCATCGTGGACCAGCACCTTTCTATACCACTTCCACAGGTTCTTCCACCTATTTTCACAGTCATAGCCATTACGGATGAAGCCGGCAGCACACACGGCAGTTGATATACCCTCCCATTTCTTATTCAAAGAGCAAGCATTGCCTATAGCTTCAGAGTTAACTGCTCGTGCAACCCTGTACTCCCCATGTGCGCGGATGAGGGCAAGCGTTTCAGCATCATTCCAGCGCCGATTTCGGTGACACACATCACCGCTATTACCAGGGACGCGCCATCAGAAGCAGTGGGGGGAGGGAGATGCTGCTCCTCACCCACCCATGGCTGCTCCTCACCTGGGGTCCCATGTGCTTGCACGCTACCTTCCGTCTCGTGATGTCTACGATCTCCTCCTGCTTGTGAGTCAGCGCCTGATTGTGAGTCAGCATAGTCGTCATCCCCTCCCCCCATTTGGTGTGGCAAACCATTCCCACAATCGCCTGCCCAGTCAACACTGCCGACCCCCAGCTCCTGATCTCTCAAAACCACTGTCCCAGAGGGGCCCAAGCTAGCAGTTGGCAAACTGTGGCTTGTCTGCTGCACAACCTCGTCGAATGCAGAGAGCAAACTACGTTGTGGCATGTCACAAACAACCTGCGATTCTAACTGTGACACGTCTACACCCAGCTGTGACATGTCTACACCCCCCACCCTCCCGACGGACGACTCAGGAGACAACAACGGCTGCTCCTGCAATTGCTCCGTAGACCATTGAGGCATGCTGAAAGTGTGAGCGTCGGTTGAAGGTGAGACTTCTGTTTGGTCTTCGTTGCTTGAGCTCCACATTGCACGCCGATGCAAGTACTCCCTCATGTCCTCCAGCGACCTCTGATCGGACGAACTGGCAACGAACGAGTGGGGGACTGGCTCCACTCCACTGGTGGTGTGCGCCACTGAAGGACCACTACGTGGAGGTTCATGCCCAAAGAATACACTTCCACTGTTCCCAACAGTGCGAAGGGCCTCCATACTCAGCTGTGTGGGAGTGGTTGCAGTGCCTGGCGACGCCACACGGAACAGTGCACCCGCTATGGAACGCTGCCACACACGAAGCTATGGAACACGAACGAGAGCGTTCCCGTTTTCCGTTTCCGAATACAGGTGCTGCGCGCTGCGGGCAGAAAAAGGCAGAAGACAGTACATTACGGATTCGGAGTACGTGGTCCTAACTGCGAACTCCATCTTACAGGTACTGAATCCGGACGCCGGGTGGAAGCAGCGAATAATCAACCGTGACCTTCGTCATATGGGCCTCGCTCCACCACTCTCGGCAGGCACGAAAGACAAAAATCTCAGCGGTGTATCTTTCCATCTTCTAGTGCAAGATTCACTCTCTTTTTGCACATTTCGAGAGTAGTGGAGTGAAGTCTGCGCACGCTCTACAAGTGAAATAAGGGCCAGATCCCACTAGCAAAGAGGATTGGAATAACTGGCCGAATTTGGACGTGTTCCACTCAAAGATGCAGAAAAGCTGTTCAATCACAATTGTTTGCACCTCTCCACAAACACGTCCAGGTTCAGAGGCTTATTCCAATCCTCTTTACCAGTGGGATCTGGCCGTATGGAAAATCGGCCAAAAAATAAAAGAAAACGAAAAAGCTAAAGAGCAATGTATCTAGCTTCGCAAACAGAGAAAATGCAGTGAAAAACGAAAGAAAACAAAACAGAAATCTATCTATCTTGGTTCCCTGACAGGATACATGCATTGAATGTGCATTATTACGGGGAGGGCTTCTGCGGCTTTTGCAAGCATCAAGAAGTCGTGGGCCTCCGAGCTCATGTGAAGGGGCCACGGACGTGACTCGCAGCAGCAG